CAGTTTGGATAAAGATGAGACTCTTAGAGAGTTTATCCTAATCCTACTGGGAGTCCAAGATTAGCAGTAATCCTAAGTCTATTAGAGCTAGGCTTCTATTGGGACTAGGATTGTGTTAGCTATAAAAGGGAGGCACCCCCATGGGTCTAAGGTATGCTTTTGATATTCTGTCTAGTGAGTTAAGCACTATTGGTTATCTTTGAGAGATATTGAGTACTGACTTGATCATCGGAGTGCCCCCGGGTGGACGAGCCACCGCCGAAAACTCTTTTTTCTGTTGCAGGTTGTTTAGGCTTAATCTATTCTACCGGTGCTCTCCAGCTGGGTACCTGTTTGGCAGTGTGGTCAGAAATTAACAGCCACAATTTGGCGCCGTCTGTGGGAAAGAAAGAAGAATAGATGGCCAACTACGGACAGAAAGAGAAGGTTGAGAACGACACCCTTACCGAGAGTGGGAAACATATTGACCTTGACGTCGAAAAAGACAACTGCAACAAAGAGACTCGTGATAAGAATCACGGAGGAAAAGACGTTGGCCAGGAAGGCGGCGTACCGAAGAAATCGGACCGGAGCGGGTATTATAACGAGGACGACCTCTAGGTATGGAACGATAGATGCTTACGGAGGGACGACGAGATAAAGGGAATGGCAGACAAATTGGCAGACTTGCAAACGGTCGTCAATTTTATGATGCAGAACAACGTCATGCAGCCACCGTTCCCGTCACAAGACACGCCGATTCCAGCAGCCAAGAAAGATGCCCAAGCAATGGGGCAGAAGACAACTCCTACGACTCCTCAGCACGTAGGACCAAGGAACATTCTCACCGGCCTTCAAGGGAGGTCGGACGAGGAGAATCAAGAAGGGGAGATTCACAGAGGACATATCGCACCAAGGAAGCTGACTCCAAAGAACATCGGCATGTTCAGGGGAAGGACCTCTGTTTCGACGCAACCAATGGAGGGAGGTCCAAAAGGACTCGCAATGACACAGGAAGTAGTGCACCAAAGAAGCTGAAATCCGAAGATAGCCGAGCTCCTGGACGAACCAAGGAGGATCTGAGCGATTACCTTAAGAGAAAGCAACAAGATGCCGAGGTGACCTCACCTGTCAAGCTGAGGACACCGTTCTCGGTAGAACTGGATAAATTCGAAGCCCTGAAGAGATTCAGTATGCCGAGGTTCCATATATACGATGGGAAGTCGGACCCCAACTTTCACGTCGGATTATACCTGAACGCGATGGCGTTATACACTGGGAACGAGCTGTTGCTCTGCAAAGTGTTCCCCTCATCATTTGGGGAAATTGCATCGGACTGGTTTCACAAGTTGCCAAAAGGAATTGTGAAAATTTGGGAAGGCCTGGCCGAGATGTTTGTGGCCAGGTTCGTGACAAACAAGCTACCGCCGTTGAGGATGGACGCCCTAATGGCCCTGAAGATCGGCGAGGATGAAAACCTTAGGACCTATGCCAAAAGGTATTATGAGGTATTCAACCGAATACTAGGATACAACCAAGAGGTGGCGGTCGTGTCGTTTAAAAGCGGCTTGAAGGATGACTGCCTGCTTCGAAAATCACTGGCAAAAACATTGTCGAAAAGCATGGAGGAGCTGATGGCCAGGATAGAAAAGTATGCCAGAGCCGAGGACGACACGCCGGGGACAAAGGCGTCCAAACCAGAGAAGAGAAATGGTTCGCCGTAGCGAAGCCGAGATAACACTAGATATGAGAAGACAAGAGCTCAGCCCAAGTAAGCCGATCCCGGATTTCAGATCTCGGATCCAAGATCCCATAAGACAAGAAATCGGCCTAAGATGATTAAGTCTGAGAAGAGAAAAGCTTGCCGAGATTATGTTTAACACTTGTTGAAATTTGTGGACAATTTACAAGTTGAAGTTAAACCGAAATCATTGTTTAACACTTGAAATAATTCCCTAGCCACAAGGTTTATAATGCCGTGACAAAGTGTTGTTAAATTTATTTGGCCATAAATTATTTTTTATTTTTTAAAGATAAGCATTTTTTTTTTAATAAAGTCTCACCACTATCACCACCAACATCACAATCAAACAGAAGAAATATTTTACTCCGAAAAAAAAAAAAAGGGTAAAAGGAAGTTTGTAAATATTTCCACTAAACTATATTATCGTTTTAACTTTTTGTGGGGACATATTTTTTGAATGACGACACGTGACCGAGGTGTCACCGGAGTGCCAGCCGAGGTTCCACGTGTCATAGTCATGATGCCGAGATGATCTCGGCTAAGCCGAGGTTATCTGCGAAGTTGTCGGAATTCGAGATAAGCGGATAAGGGACAAGAGTCCTAGAATGGGAGAAGACTTCAGTTTGGGTAAAGATGAGACTCTTAGAGAGTTTATCCTAATCTTACTGGGAGTCTAAGATTAGTAGTAATCCTAAATCCATTAGAGCTAGGCTTCTATTGGGACTAGGATTGTGTTGGCTATAAAAGGGAGGCACCCCCATGGGTCTAAGGTATGCTTTTGATATTCTGTCTAGTGAGTTAAGCACTATTGGTTATCTTTGAGAGATATTGAGTACTGACTTAATCATCGGAATGCCCCCGGGTGGACGAGCCACTGTTGGAAACTCTTCTTTCTATTGCAGGTCGTTCGGGCTTAATCTATTCTACCGGTGCTCTCCAGCTGGATACCCATTTGGCAGTGTGGTCAGAAATTAACACCCACACTTTTCACTGAAATATATTTCCACATAATAGCATTAGGTACAAGCTTATTCAAGTTCTTTATAAATAAATAAAAAAATTTAAAATTAAGAAATCATGTAAGTTTTTAAGAACTTACATAAGTGATATCACAAAAATGTATAAGTTGAATATAAATTCACATAAGTCTATTCATAAGTTTTGAAATACACAAAATCACGTAAATTATATAAATTATTTCACAAAAATATATAACCTAATCCATAAAATTATATAATAAAAGTACATTGCATATAGTATGCAATGCACACTAAGAGTTTTCCTATTATAGATAGTTCACAAGCTGATAAAATGAAAAGAGTGATGCTTTTCCTATGACCACCAAAGTGTTGATCTATGGATGGTTGTGCACAAAGCAGTGCAAAAACAAACTGTCAAGAATTGAGCTTTCTTCTTCTTGATTTTTTAATCTTTTTTTCTTTCTTTTTTCCTTTGAGAAAACGTTTTCTATTTAAAATATTTTTTGAATATTCTCTTCAACATTGTCTGATGGAAGAGGCTTCAAATGCTTTTCCTTGTCCTTATAACAGGTCTCGATATGATTATCTGCGTGACATTTTAAATAGATTAAAGAAAGAAGATTAAGTCTAAGAATACAGAATCAATCAATCACACAAAAATCAATATATGTGTACATAATAGAACTAAAGGAAGAAAATAGAATAATTTGGGGCTGTTGAGAAATGAAAAAGAGTACGCAAAGAAGAAAAACTCACCACAATTGTATGTTGTATCTGCTTTTAAATGGAGGAGGGCAATAGCACCATCCACTTCGTCTAATTCATTTGTTCTTATTACGTACACCTATGCTATGCCAATAGGAAGGTAACAATAATTCAGTAAAAACATTATTTTGTATAGTTTTGTATAAAGATTGCTCTCAATAATCCACACACAAAATGAATAAAACATGAAGGCTGGCCCACTTCAACAAGAAGTATAAATGACTGTATTTAGATCTAACAAAGAAGAATATTTATTAAGAAAAATGTTATACATAAATGTTTTTTATTTGATTTTTTTTTACTAGACACAAAGATAATAAAATTCACCACGTATATTTATTAAAAATTTGAAGTGAAATTCATTTACAAAAACACTATATAAATAGAATTTTCATACAAAACATTCTCTCATAATGATTTGGTATTATGTGATTCTTTGATTTTAAGAAAAAACACCAATCGTAGTGGTTTAGACACACAAAATGTCAGGACATATTGGGTTGTTTGTTGTAATTTAAAAAAAAAGTTAATTATAGCTTATTTTAATTTGAGTGTATGTCTCAGACTATTTGATATAGGTTTTGCTTATAAATTATTGAACAGAAATAACTTAAATAAGTTGGGGAAAAAAAAGAAGAAGATGATTATCTAGAGCTATGGAGAAGTGTTTTTAGTTTCTGTTTTCTGATTATTAACTTTTAACTTCCAGTGAGCTGCAGGAAACAAGTCCATCATTCTGTATAATATTACAAAATTTATAAAAGAAAAAGAACAACATAGAAAAAAAAGTAAATAAAATAGAAGCAATCATGTTTTTAGCTCTTCGTTTACATTCACATTGGATCTTAGATCCGTAAGAACAGTTATTTAGAAAATATTATACATGAATAAATTTTTTTATTCAATTTTCTTACGGTTAGATATAGAGGCATGGATTTCAAATATATTTATTGACAGTTGATCACTTCATTGTCTAGAGTTAAGAAAATCTTATGAGAAATCTATTTATGTCTAACATTACTCAAAAAAATTATGAAGAAAAAGAAAAAAGAAAAAAAAATAAATTAAAAACATTTTTTTTTTTCACTTTCATTTCTCTATCACAAATCCAAGATCCAACATAAAGAAATTGGCCCAATAGACTAATTCCTTTTTTGCCTTATTATGTTATGGCTAGACTCTCTTTTATAAGTGGATCAAACATGTGTAAGTATTATACTTATGTGTTGCTATTATATTGGTAAATTACACAAATTTTCTCGAGATTTAAAATATATATATAATAAATCCCACAAATTTGTTATAATTATATCAAACTTCCTTAAAATTTTAGCTCACAAAACACTTTATGTTTTTTATTAGTAATTCGTTAATCATATAAATGGAAAAAAAAATGACTTATATTGAAATATATTTTACACTATTTATCATTGTATTTTTACACTATGCATCAGTTTTGATTCATTTACCCTCACTAAAAGGGATTGTGTAATTATAACAAAAGTATAGCATTTGTTGTATTTTTTCCGAACTTTAGAATTATTTAGATGTAGATTACCTTAAAAGTGCAATGTTTGATCAACTGAAAAACTAAAGCATCTCCAACATTTAGTTTGTGTGCATTTGAGAAAAATCTCCATCCAGCACTAAGTGAATTCTTCCCAAACAAGTACTTTGCTTGGTATTCTCCTTCTTCACTTCCATCAACCAAAACCACAGTAGCATCATACCTTGGCATGTACATCTCACAAAAGTGCCTTGGAAAATTCTGCATTCACAGAGATTAGCGCATTTATAAATAATAATAATAATAAAAAGGACAAAATTTGTAGTGTGCACCTTCGTCGATTGATTACATAACAATATAATGTTTTTGTAGTTATAATTGTAACTCCAAATTACGATATGGTGTAATTGTAGTCATAACAAAAATCATATCGCATTGTATTGAAAACCACGTGAGCTTGATGTGTACTTTTAAGATGTATTTGGATATATAGTAAAAAAGATTTGTGAAGGAAAAAGAAAAAGAAAATGATTTGTGAAATTTTTTGTTTATGTTTCGTCTACTTTTTCCTTCGGGCAAATTATACCTGTGGGCTTGTGAATTTGGTTACATTGTATCAATTTAATTGATAGCAACAGTTAAGAAATTAGACGGAAATCAAGGGTAAAATGATCCATTAAATAATGAATGAATCATTTTAAATTGGATATCCACCACTCAATCACTTTAAGAAGAGTACATGAATCACTTTGCTCATTGATTTTGGTCCAATTTTTAAATTGATGTTTACAATTGGACTAAATTAACAAAATATGAAAATTCAAGGATAAAATCGATGAAATTAGGACTACGAGTACTAAATTGACACAAACCACAAACTGAAGGTGTAATTTGCCATTTTCTTTTTCATTTGTTTTCCTTCACAATTTCAAAAATCCAAACACAGCCTTAAAAGAGTACACACACAACAGTATAGCTCATATTATAAATCATCGAACTAACGATTGTGTTGGACTTACCAGAAGAAACCCTACAGTAACATTTGATCGGATCATCAACTTGACAAAATTTGGGAATTGGGAATCCAAATTTGCTCGAACCTCTTGGACTCGATTCATCACACAAGAATTGGCTTCTGAATCATCGTTGAACACATCCACTATTGCTCTCTCCCTTTTATGGTTATAAATTAATTCCCCCCCCCCCCCAACAAAACAAACAAAAAAGCATTTTGAAAATTCAATCTTTGCTAGCTTAAGAAAATTGAAAATGCATTTCAAATAGTAGTTAGTCACTGACCTTCTAGGCTTCCCACATCTATTACAAACAACCTGTTAAAGAATTCATAAAACTTTCTACATCAATTCATCAAGTTAATGATGAAAATATGAGAATATATTGTTTATATGGCATGATTGTATACAATGTATTCTCACAGAAAAATCAATATTAGACCATCAACTTTGCAGAAAACTGTTAAAATTGAAATGAATGTAGAGGTATATTAAAAACAAGCAAGTAAATAGGTGTCCAAGTTGTTCGAGATCTATGACTTATGTATGAGAAATAACAAGTACAAATTTTTAAAGGGTTGAACTAATTTAAAATTTTCATGCTTCACTCTCCTTGAAGCCACTCCAGGACTTAGGCTCGGTAATTAAGTGATATATGTGAGATGATAGAGTACATATAAATTTTCTCATCACCTGTCGAAAATCACTTACAATCATTGGATCATTGAAAATATCAACGAGTATAGTAATCTCAAGATATCATATGATCCAGATGTGAATATTGACATCTAAGACTTGGACTTGATAATTACTTGATATATAAGAGACAACAGACTATATATACCTGAGAATTAGTTAGGGTGAAAGCACCAAACACTCTTATTAGAAAAAAAGAACAATTGTACAACTAATCAAGAAAATGATTCTCTATTTCTAAATCTCCCTATCCCTTATCCCAAACCACTCATAATCATTGAATCATTAAAAATCTCGAAGTGCAATAATTTCAAGACATGATGGTGCTTTGATATAGAACCAAAAGCAATAACTGAGAATTTAAAACCTCCAATAAGACACCAAACAAAACAGAAACAATGAAATAAACCCAACAAAGTAAAGGACAGCTTGAGATAATAAAACACTGAGCTTATCCCATATAGGCTATGTAGCAGCAAAACAATTTTTTTTTTAAAAAAAAGACGATAAAAACACAAAAAAAAAAACATCACACAGTTCAAATATTTTGCCTTTGATTTCAGCAAGTTGCCAGAGGTTGTGGTCAAATTACTTTTGGGGTTCGATTAAATCAACCCTTAACCCATCACCTCAATGTAAACATTATTCAGAACAAAATAAATCAATAAAATACGAAATAACTCAAAATAATTATATTTTTATAGAGTTGCAAGAGAGATGTGTCAAACCAAATGAGTTGGGGGAACAGAGAGGGAAAAAAAGTAGAAAGAAATGAAATGGGTTGGGAACTAAAGAAGATTATCTTACTTGCTTAGGCCTTTTGGCGGTTGAAAGCAGCTCTTTTTCCATCTCCATTAGCTTTTTCCCTTTCTGTCAAATCAAATCAAATTCAAAGTATACAAATTTTAACTGAACATAAAATTTGAGAGATAGAAATTTGAGAGACAGAGGAGAGAGACTGAGCAAGAGAAAGAGAGAGACCATGTGAGTTTTCTTCTACTTATTTCATGTTATGGTCTCTTGTTCCTCATATCTATGGGCTTCCATTATATCTCTCTCTCTTTCTCCTCATGCTATCTTGATGTCTAGAGAGCTATATGTATATACTTCATGCATCTAAAGGAGGGAGGGAGAGAGAGAGAGAGAGAGAGAGAGAGAGAGGATTGTGAATAGGGTGTGAGGGGGTGGACAAAATCGGAATAGAAAAGAGAGTTGGATGTCGACCGTTTTGTTCAAATTTGCTTATTTGGGGATCATCATGATTGTGCAATTGTAACCTAAATAGTAAAATGAAAGACCATTTTTGCCTCAATTGTATCCCATGAAGCTAATCTTTGAAAACTGATACACAAAGGTTATACTTACTTAAGAAAAAATGAGTCTTCGTAGACTTGTGTAAGTTTGCTTGATCAACACCATAACGTTATATAATAGACATAAAAACAAACCAAAATTCAACATGAAATAAAGCAAAAGACATATCATTGTGGCTTAAGTTTTTAAAATATCACTGCCAATGAATTTTGATAAAAATTGTGTAAAACTTTTTTAAGAATAAGTTTTCCTTAGTTTAAAAATAATAATAATAATAATAAATAAAAGAGAATTGAATTGTCACAACTACTAAAATCGAAGTCACCACAATAAGTCATAAATAATATCATTTGAAACATAACAAAATAACGAGACATCTCCAACTTTAATTTGACAATTTGTCCACTCTACCACCATGGTGGCCCATAACCAAATACCACTTACACTTCATAAAACACTAATTTGGACCATAATATGGTGCACTATGTGTATTGTTATATGGCTGGAAATTTATTTCCTCTCTATGTGTTATTTATAAGAAGAAATTTGTTAATATAAAAAATATCACATAATATTCCGAATTTCTTAGCAATTACCTATGACTCTCTGTCTACTTCTCGGAAAGTGGTTTCAAAATTTTATAAATAGAAGCATAAACAAATAAAAAATTTAGTCCATTCCTATGTTACAAACAAGGAAAGACTACACTTGGGGAAGACTGGGTTGTTAGAAGCCTAGTGAGTGAAAATTAGGCATTTTTTGTTTATCCTTTTAGCAAAGTTCCCATCTAAGGGAAACAATAGTCCTAGTTGAATGTTGGACTTGGACATCCATCTTTTTTACATACTCGGTTTCTAACTTCTAAAAATAAGCTCAAGCTTGACCTTCAACTTTGTGCCTAATCAAGCAAAATATTTTGAAATTTGACTAACATTAATTTTTTGGCTTGGCTTATAAGCAATAATAGTATTGTTTCAATTCATAAGAAGAATAGACTAGAAACCACCCCATATTTTAGCAATTAGCATTAAAAAAAAAAAAAATTATAATCTTTTTAAGTTTATTAACAAATACACTCACCCAATAATTAAGTGATTTTGCGATCATGATCATGAGAGTGTTACATATTTTTTTTGGAGTAAAATCAAGAATTTTGCTGAGAAAATATCAAATAACAAAATAATAATTACAAATCAATAAAGTGCAAGTGCCTCTAGGCACACTAATTTTCATTTTGTGTTTTTATTTATTATTTTTATGATATTCTGCCAGTTTCATTTCTTGTATTTCTTTTCTATCTCTTTTTAAAAGAAACACAAGAATGAAGATAAAGAAGTGAGAATATGTACTTGCTTGTATTATTTTGTTTTCTTATTTTTTCCCTACTCTTTCTTTCTTTTGGAATTGGTGTATGTAACCTCTATTTATGAGAAGCCTCATTTTGCATCAAAATAGTGTAGACAAGAAAATACTTGAAAACTTAAAGAGAAAGTTAAATAAATGTTTTAAAAAAAAAAAGTTAGCAAAATCTATATATATACATACTTGGTCAACACGCTCACATATCTCTTTATCCATATATTATCTTTTTTGCTTTTTCTATGAATTTTGAGTCAAAAGAAAATTAAAAAAGATTTGGGTTTCTTAGTATTAGATCAATTTCAACAGAACTTGTTTCCTCGAAAATGGCAAAAAAAAAAAAAAAAACTCTCTTAATATTTTCTTGAGATATATTTGAAAGTAAATATTAAATAAATATGACAAGGAGGGGGGATTCAAACCGATCTATTATCGAAATCAAGCTTCTCATTCATTTTTTTTAAAGACAACATATGATTATTGATATTCAATTAATATAATTTTTTTACATAAATAATATATTTCAAAAGTACTAAAATCAAACGGTTCAGATGCATAATGCTCCATGATATTATGATTGGTGAAATATGTGGGATATTATGATTTTGTGTTAGATAATTGAAAAACATGAAAAAAAATGATGATTAGTGAAAGAGTATGAATACCTGATATCACGAAAGTACATAATAATTTTCCAGGTTAGAGAAAAGCTACCTCCTAAACCTAACACAATCAACATGAAATAAAAAGGTGAAACACATAGCAAGTTGCAAACTGTATGCTTGTTAAATTAAGGTTATGCGACAGTGCAAGAGACCTTTGTTAAAGCAGAATTTTAAAAAATAAAAATAAAAAATAAAAAAACAAAACAAAACAAAACAAAACAAAACAAATTATACTAATCTTTATTCCTAACTTTTAGAATGATTGTTTCCGTAACTCAAACCAACACTACTAAGGATGCTAACGACAAAATCTTACCGTTGAGCCGAGTTCATCATATATACTAGCCTTTAACTGATGTATGATTTAATACCACAATACATTCAGTACAAGCCTCAACAAACCATGAAGTAGAATTTAAAAATTGAAACTGCTCAATTGTATTGTTTGAGAGGGATAGAGAGATATCTCCCTAGATATGTATTAACTGTACAACATCTTACATTAGTTACGATAATGTTACCGGAAAAGCACTCCTTAATTCTAGGAATACTACACAAGATATATTTTCCCATCGAATACTATACAAGATATATTTTCCCATCAATAATTTTACGACACAAAACCAACCACATAAAATAATTATGGCCATACACATCAGGTTGTGGGGGCCTACCACTGAAGAGAGTACTCCACTCGCATTGGTCCAATTGTATTTTCTGTAGTCGATGATTTTACGTCTATAAAATTATTGTTTTCTCATTCTTCTGTACACTTGTACACTTCTACTATGTTTGGTTGGGAGATTTGAGGAGAGATTTGAAAAGGGAAATAGAAAAGACAAGTGAAATATTATTTGAAAAGGGAAATAGAAAAGACAAGTGAAATATAAATAAAATATACCTAGATTTCACCTAGTTTCACACACTTTTTCCCTTTCTCTTTCCAAATTCCTCTCCAAATCCCCCAACCAAACACAACATTCATACTTTACACATTCGAAAAAACCTCACCCAGGATTCTTATGCCTCTTCATACTATTTGCAGGGTGGCACACGCCTGAATGAAAGCTTATACACACCATCCTCACCAAGCGATTGCTGACCTTCACCTTAATTATCTGATAACATCTTATAATTTTGAGCGGCAGATGCGTTTGATGGGATTCGAAGGTGAACGCTTCTGAGCAGAAGCTAATGGCTGCCCGTTCAAGGAACCACAAAATTTAATATCCCAACCTTCAATGTTCTTCGGAACACATGCATCGAAGAGGATTTGACCGAGGAGGGTATGCGCACTCATACTAGGAGGGTTTGGCGAATGAGCTGGTCCTTTTTGTTCATCTTGTAAAGATCCGAATTCTTTACTACTGCTATATTCTGCTGAACTTGGCAAGAAGAAATGGTCATTTGGCCCTTGCGCAACTCTTCTAAAGCTCTGATTTGAGTTAACTGCTGCATTCTGGAGATCACATATCAACTCGGATATCTGATCGTGCATGCCCTCCATAGCACTTCTTTCTCCAAGTCCTTGGATCTTTTGGGAATAAACTGAAACTGCGTGCTCAAGAAGCTCGGTCACAGCAGCCCTATATTGAATTGGGTGGTGCTTGTAATGTCCTGCAGAACAATGAAACGATTGCTAGTTAAGTAAGTGAGACAATAATGACCTTACGAGTGGTTAACATAATAAACATTCTTAACACTTGGAATGGATAAAAAAATTGGACTGGAAACAGGGCTTCTTTCCAGAACATTTTAGTTCCCTTCAAAATCGCTTACACAGCAAATGAACCAATGGTCCTACCAGATTTTTTTCATACTTCACTTTTCTTGAATGCATTAGACAAATTATATTACTATTCAAGTAAAAAGTAAATATAACTAATTTTTCTGAAATACACATTATCACAGAGAACCGTCGCCACAATTCCTAAACCAGCATTTTGCATCATACTTGCATTATGCATCTCAATGCAGCACAAAAACAACAGACCATTTAATTGTCCACAGCAAATTGGGACCCAAGGGACTTCTCTGATCTCACCAACATTAGTTGAGTACCTCTTGCAAATAATACCTTAAGTTGGTATGAAATGGTCCAATAATATATACCAAGCTCTCACACACAACATGAAAAGAGAGATTAACACAAATTGAACTGAAAAGGTACACAAACACTTGTGGAGCAGAGTAAGCATAATAAACATAATAATGGGAAGAATTGAAAAAGAGCACATATCAGGAGAAATGAACACGGGGCCTCCCAAAACCAAGACTTTGATACCATGACAGACAACCAATTGTCCTTGATGCTTAAATTGTTAGGGAATGGCTCCAACAATGTAGATCAAACTGTCACAAGATAAAATCAGCAGGACAACAACTTGATTTCCCTTTTAAAATCAGCAGTCCACATTGAAATAACCCTTAATTTCAAATTTAAAATGAGTTTATCTCCAATAATGAAGTGCAATATCCTCATTGTCCAAGAATTTCATTTAAATAAACTAATTAGACGGTTCTTCCTGTGAAAAAGTTTGGCCACCCAGCAATGGAGATATTTGAAAGGCCATTCGCATATTGTTTTGGAACTGTCTAGGAGACTTGAGTGTGTCTTGGTTAACTGAGCTTTTCAATAAAATTGTAGAAACTAAAAAAATGTCAGACGAGTGGAGAAACAATATTTTAGTACCAATACATAAAAATAAAGGGTGACATTGAAAGTTTTACAAATTATAGGGATGGTATGCTTATGATTCATTCTATGAAGTTGTGGGAGAGAGTGATTGAGCATAAGTTAACACTTGGAACAACTAAGTCAGATAACCAGTTTGGACTTATGCCTAGGAGGTCAACAATGGAAGTGATTTATCTATTGAGGAGACTAATCGAAAAGTACAGAGAAAAGAAGAAAGATCTTTGCATGGTTTTTGCAGACTATAAGAAAGCCTATGATATGTTTTTTGTTAAGATTTAATATGGTGAGCTTTGGAAAAGAAAGGCGTCACAATAAAAAGACATGTAAGATCTATGTAGCTGACCCCAAGTCATTGGGAAAAAGCTTAGCTGAGTTGAGTGGAGATGAGTTGCTAACATAAACACAAAGTGTTAACACCAAGGTAAACATGAATGCTTATGATATCACAAAAAAAAAAAGGGGTCAAATGTAGGTTCAAACACAAGATCACTTGAATGTGTGCACAAATGTGTTTCTGTTAAGGCAGTTAGGTTATATCATAAAATTTAAAAAACCATATTGAATTATGCTATGCTTTTAAGGAAGATTATGTGATTCAATACTAAATTAAGGATTACAACAAGTGCTGATTGGGGGAGGGGGAGAGAAGAATTTAAATTGAGAGTCAAGACTAACCTACATGCGGGGAGCCATTCCATTTCACAAGTTTGACATTCCCCCCAAGATCCTGTAAACGCTGAGCAAAACTGCAGATGACTGAATATGGAGCGAGATCATCATTTTCTGAGCATAGAATAAGAAATGGGCCCCCCAAACTCTATAACAGGAAGGAAAAGAAAAAGGCAAATTAAATAAGGAAAAAAGAAAAAAAAAGGCTTTGATAGGTTATGGTTCTGGACAATACAAACTTACAACTGATGAATAAAGAGTCTGCCAGTACTCAGTCCGGTGTGATCCGAACCTAGTGAGAAATAGAGCATCCAGTCCAGAACCAACACCTTTTGCAATTAATGACACTAGTTTAGCTGAACCAGGTATCCTTCGAATGGTAGGGTGTAATGTGAATTGAGCGCCCAAATCACTAGTAAAATCAACTGGACTAGAATCATAGATGTGACCAGAGATGCAATTCCTAATCAATTGAGTATCATCCTGTGCAAGGGTAAAAAAAATGTATGTATAAAGAAAATTGCTTCCAAGCATTGAAGGTATGAATTTTATGAAGATTGACGATGAAATGAGACTGCAACTACTGCAATTCAGAGGAAAAATATATTGTCTCACAAAACCGTAAGCAGCATTCTCAAATTACAAAGCATACCTGACTGAGTTGTGCTTCGCATGCTCCTTCAATAACCTGCATCAGGAGAAGGAAAATTACACAAATAGCCAGAATTTGAAACATTGCACCCAGCATTGCAGGACCACTAGGATTATACATTCTTATTTCACAGAGAATTCTAGAAATTACAGGTAATGCTCTATGAAATATTTTGTTTGCCATTTTAGTTCAGCTCACCGGTAAGGCTCTACACCATTCAAGCAAAGATTATTTTGATCTCTCTACATGACGGTGTGTATTATAAGATTGAACTTAACCAATAAGAACTCAAAATTTGGAAGAGAGAGAGAGAGAGAGAAGGATTGGGTGCTCAATACTTCATCAATTTACCTGAAAAATCTTATACATGCAAGCTTTTGAACCACCAGAAAAGGCCGCAAGGACTAAAGGACATGGCCTAATCTTTAGCTCCTGCATCTCCAAATAAAAAACATAGCATCTAGCCCATGAGTCAAGTACGAATGCTTGCCAAAAAAAAAAATCCAAAACTACAAAAGTGCCCAATCTATCTCACGTCACAGTCAAGCTACAAGGAACTGTTAGCGGTATTATTCTTTTGTTGCATAGTGCTACAGGCACAGTGTGAATTTCATCAGAGACATCTTTTACCTACTTGGGAGCCCACCAATTGTAAAATCTAACTCCATAAAAAATTCAGCCAAATTCATTGAATTTAATATGAAGACATAATTGTGGCCAGCAAACAATATTAACACTGACCTCAACAAGTTCATTGAGAACAGCAAATGCCAGTGATGTGGCCCTCTCAGGAAAGAATCTGCACAAAAATCATAGTTAACTATAAAAAAAAAAGGTTCACCAATAATGATCTTGAGAAGAAAGAAAGAAGTAAAACAAAATTCCCATTGCATACAGGCTGAGATCAGACACGTTTATATCAAATCCAGACTTTTTATAAGAATGGACGTCGGCCTATGAAGCACGGATACTTCAAATAGGAAGACGTATCTGTATACGGATACAGATACTCCTTAGATACTTATGGATACGTATCAGATACTTATTAAAAGTATCAAATACTTCTTAATTAATTTTGAAGTATCGGATACTTAGTTTTGAAGTATCGGATGCCCCAAGTCACATATTATCGGATACTTTTGAAGTATCAAATACTCCAAGTCACATATTACTCCCTTTATGAAATTAGAATTATATCATTTCTTGCATAACATCATAATATAATATAATTGCGAAGATAAATAGAATATTTTTACAATACTTTGCTTAGTTTTTTTTATAAAAATAACATAGTAAGCTAATAGAATTCATCAAATTGACATATCTTTATTGTATCATGCATGTCCCCTATAACTACATAGAAGTAAAGATTAATAAGATAATATAACAATAGTAAAATTAAATATCAATAAATAAGGGGTTGTTTGGGATCACCTAAATAAGTGTACTTTTTGTCTTTTTACGAAAAGATGTGCAGAAAAGTAGAGAGGTGATGTGATGAAAAAAAGATAAAAAGATGGATTATTTTTGGGTTGCCAAATTTGGCCTAAATAAGCAAATAAACTTGCATAAAATATTTTTGACTAAGTGCAAAAGGAAAAAGTATAGGGTCAAGTTGTGGATTGTTTTGAGATTATAATATCAACATATTAGACTTGATACTGAAATGAAATATTTGTAAGACCTATTGAAAATTTAAAAACTAAACTAACTACTGCCTTAAATTAATACCTAATTCTTAAAAATTAGTATTTTGCATCATAAAGTTACTGTGGTTTCTCAACATTCTTGAGCTTATGTGTAACTTACTGCTAATAATTTTTTATTTTTTATTTTTTACAAACGTATCCTAACCGTATCTGTATCCTACTTTTTTAAGTTTTGCTGTATCATCGTATCTATATCGTATCGTATCCGTATCTGTGCTTTCTAGACATCGGCTAAGAAGCACGGACACTTCTAAGAAGGTGACGTATCCATGTCATGTCCGTGTCAGACACCGATACTCTTTGGACCATTCCCCGACATATGTCCAACACTCTTCAAAACGTGTCCTATTTTAAATTTTTTAAAAGACCTGGGTACTCTTTGGACACTTGGAGGACACACACGCCTGTCGCTTAAACACAAGTGTCTATCGATTAGACACAGGCGAAACAAATTATAAATTTGAACAAAATAACCTATGATACAATAATAAAACAAAGACCATATAAATTTATAAGAATTACTATCATATTGCATTTTTTATTATTTTTGAATAATATATTTATATATATAATATATAATAAATATATAAAATTATATATTTTATGCATGTTCCCCACGTGTCGTATCCTACATTTTTTGAAAATTGACATATCCGCATGTTCGTGCCCATGCTTCTTAGGCTGTCGGTTTCTATATTATTGGTACAAGTTATTTCCCAATTGGTTGGAATATTATCTAACAAAAAATCATGCATTTTTCCTTTCATCCTTCTTTTTAGTGAGCCAACTGGACACCTGGATCTAGTGCTTTCTTGCTGGAGGGATTTTTTTCATGGAAGAAAATCAATGAAGAGAAGAATTGTCCTCTCATATCTCACATGGTAAAGAATCCTAACTCACCGCATAAATTTTCTATCAAAAGCTGTTATGATTTAACAAAATCAATAAGAAGATTGATGAAAAACAAACTTCTATACAAATTGCAAGAAAGCATTCTGAGTTGAAGACCTTAGTAGATGTTGTTACATGGCTAGCATTCCAAGCTTGTGCTTGATGTGATGAACACCAAGTTTCTAGCAAGCAGGGGAATGCTGTTAATTGATAAAGCTCTTGGCTTCTTATAATGAGGACATGGCAGTAGTGGTATTGAAAAATGCTTCTTATCATAGGCATGAGATTCAAAGACAGATTCTTAGGCTGTGTTTGGTTATGTTTTTGAAACGTAATTCCACACCTTGGTTTAAATGCTGTGTTTGGTTAGAATTTTCAAAAATTGATTCCACACCCACTTTTGAAAACATGTCTACCTGATCATCCTCCCGAATGTCCCCCGGACGTCTGGCCGATTGACCGGAACAGTGTTTTTTTTTTTGTGACACCGATTATTTTTATATTTTAAATAAAAAAATATTTTCAGAATTTTTTAAAATTTTTTTGGAAGCTTTGAATACAATTTTGGGTTATGTGTTTGGTTACAAGTTATAAATTTTTGAATCAAATATCATATGTCATATCAGAAATTCCAAACTCAATTCAAAACTCTTTTCAAAACTCATAACCAAACCAATTTTTCACACTCAAATCATAATTCCAAAACTCACAAACTCAAAATACAACTCTATTCTCAAATCATAATTCTAAAACTCTACCAAACACTACCTTAGTATTTTTCCTAACAAAATACACAGATTTATTCATAAGGAGATCAATGATGGAAACTTTTGTATTATAGTTGATGAATCTCAAGATGAATCAAAAAGAATGCAGATGTTGATTTTTTTGTGATTTGTTGATAAAGATGGTTTTGTAAGAGAGTTTTTGTTCGATACCCATTGGAACTTTGAAAGAATAAATTTGTAGTTCATGTGTTGGATACCCATTGCAACTTGGAAAGAATAAATTTGTAATGTCCTCTCTCTTGTCAGAATCTTAGATTGTATTTGGTTGGAGGATTTGATGAGAGAAATAGAAAAGGAAAGAGAAATGCAATCTCACTTTTTGTTTGGTTATAATGAAAAACACAGGAAAAAAGAAAGTAAAAGGGAAATGCAATCTCACGTTTTGTCTTTTGAGTTCACTTCCGCTCCTTACTTTTTTTATTTCCCAACTCAACCAAACATAGCTTGAAATTTGAAACCTATCAATTCTTTCACCTTTTCTTTCTATTTCCCTTTCCCTTTCCCTTTCCATCATCAAATCCTCCAACCAAACACAACCAAACACAAGTGCAAAATATTCAGAGTTTGGGATATGATGGTGCTAGTAACATGTGAAGAATGGATCGGATTGTAGGCCTTATTTTGAGTTGAGTGCCCATTTGCATATATTATCTTTATTGTTTTGCTCTCATCAACTCCAATTGGCACTAGTAGGAGCATCTAAAAAGGTTATACCAGTCAATAAATTGTTTTTCCTTACTAAGCCTGTAGTTAAATTTAGTAGGCTCAACTTGAAAAATACACAATCAATTTAGAGAGAAACTCAAGCTACAAAAATTATTGAAAAATTTGTCATTGATGATGAGTTTGAAGCTGTTAAAAATAAATAAAAAAAATTGAATTGAATTGAATCTACCACTGCAATACTAGAAACAACATGTGTATATGTAATGGAAGAAAATAAGATTGATGATTGAAATGAAATAAAACTCACGGGTTGAGGAAATCGGAAAGGCAAACAAGGGAGTTCCATCCAAGAGAGGAGTACAGATTGACGTAATTCTTCAAGTGAATTTCCTGAATTGAAACCCAAGCGAATATCACCACGATTCCTTTGAGCTTTCCAGTGTAGAATGATTGGTTCCGAGCCCAATAGAACCTCCCTCCTCCTCCGTTACTTAGCATGGCACTCCTCAAGAAGCTTCTTATTAGGGTTTCTTGAAGAATTGAGAATGAAAATTCAAATCTGAACTGAACAGAGTATAACCCTAATTGGTCTCCGGAACACAAGCGACTGTTGATGATGGAGAGAGAGAGAGAGAGAGAGACAGAGGGGGAGAGGGGGAGAGGGTGAGAGGGCGCTCGTGTGTGTGGATGGAGCGAGGGAGAGATTGCGGTGATGGGTGTGTCGTTGGTGGAGGCGGATCTTCTAATTCTAATTGGGATCGCACGTGCCAGATAGGATAATAAAGGAGTAATAATCTTCTCATAATTATCTTCTTATTTAGCATATGTCACCATCCTACTGATAGTCCTGTTACGTGATAAGTTTATTTATTTTAATGTATGAGGACATGAATGAACAGCATGAGGCATAGTATTTGATAATTGGTGGATAACATAATCACAAGCTACGCTAAGGGCAACTAATAATTTTACCATTTTGATGGTTTAAAATTGTGAATCCCACTTAAAGAAAATATAGGATGATTTTTAGGCAAATTTTTGGGACATCCTAACTTATTTTTTATTGACTAAAACAATAATTTTAAATACTTTTGTAATCATTTTTGAAAGACAACATAACATATATCATAAAATGAATAGTGCGAAATATTATTCTAATTGCCAAATAACTTTCTCCAAATTGAAATGGATGAACATACTCTTTAGATGAGTTTACAGTTTTAGAGCAATAAACCAATAAAAAGAAAGTAGGTATTATTTTCACACATCCTGAGAAATTCATTTCCACAATACACAGAACAAAACCATTAATTCAAATCAAGTTCCCACAAATAGCTGAATTACACTCAATAGGGTGTTATTATTTGGCTAAATTACACTGAACTACCTTGATTTTTAAAGAAAATATAATAAATGCTATGACTACCTTTTTAATTGTTTAATCTACCTTATAACTGCATCAGCTATTGCGCGGCTACGCGGTATGACCTGAAAGTGATCAAATGTGCCATGAGAAGCCAGACATGAGTAAGCAACTACCCTCCTCGTCTCAATTGTTGAGCATGATATCTTCCACTCAGGGCTGGTCTTGGGCTAAGGCCACTACGACTTGTGCCTTAGGTCTACAATTTTGGCCCAAAAATAGGACTTCCAAATTTAGAAAAATGTTATAAGCCCAATTTTATTTTATTTTATTTTTATTTATTTATTGGCCCCAAAATATTTTATTGGGTCTATATATGTTTAGCACATATTTATTTATATGTGTGGTTTGATCCATATTTATAAAAATAAAAATATATAAAATAAATAAATTAATTAATTGTTTGGGCCTAACCCAGAAGAACAAAACAATACATACCAATTACATAGCTCAGTCAGTGTTTCATTCAACTCTGTGCTTTCAATCTCTCTCTCTCTCTCTCTCACGAACACGAAGTGGTGGGTGATGAAGAATGAAACAAGGCAAGCATAAAGCAGAAGCAGAGCGAGCGACACACTTTCTCTCTCTCACACACACTCTCTCCTGACCTCTCTCTTACTATCAAATTTTATTAAATAAAGTTGCTCTAATTTTTTTTCTACATTCTTTCTTTATCAGTTAGTGGAATAATAAATTTGTCCCTTTTTTTTTTTTTTTTACCTTCTTTATCTATTAGATTTTAGTAGAATAAATAATTTAGACCTAATTTTTTTGCCCTAATTTTGTTTCATTAAATTGTTTCTTTTATAATTTCTTCGCTATCAGATATGAGATAATTCGTGGATTGTGATTTGTGGATTGAAGTGTTTGTGAAAAGAATTGGTAGACAAATTAGATTAGTGATTTTGCAGCTAAACATGTAAGAAGAGTAGTATTTAAGTGATTGTTGGGTCAATTGTAAATTGGACAAAATCAGTTTTTTATGTTTTTGAGTCATTGTACTGATTTTTTTCTATCTTAATATATGAAAGTAAATTTTAATTTATAATTTTAATGATTATATGTGCAAGTAAACTTAAATAAAAAAATTTATTGATACTTATTATTTTATGCATAAATTTTTTATTAAAAAAATCTATATAACAAAACAAGGGTGTTGATGGGACATTTGTCTTAGGAGGCATACAAATTGATGGCTAAGATTACACTTCTTGCCATCCATTTCAAGGGCTGAGATCACACTTCTCTTTTGTTTTTCTTTCTCTCTCAGGCTCTATTTGTTCAGGTTTCAAAATTCAAACATTTCAAAGGTTTTATACCATTCTCTCTCTACCAAACGTTCTCTTCCTCATTCCACCCTCTCTCTCTCCCTCTCAAACAAACTCTTTGGTTCTCTCTCTCTTCTACCCGATCTCCCCCCATCGGAGCCCATCCTATGCGGATATCCAACCTTAACCCCCTATTCATCCTCGATTTTGCCCATTACAACCCCGACTGAAGGGTTCGATTTTGCCCATTCCAATCTGAAATTGCCTATTTCAATCTGAAATCAAAGGGTTCGATTTTGCCCATTGCAATATGAAATTGCCCATTTCAATCGTTCAAAGTTGAGCGAGTCGTCTTCGATCAAATGATGGGTTTTGCAAGTTGACTGATTTCAATTCCAGATTTTCTTCAATTTCATATTTAAGGAGAATATAAGGGCCAACTATTCCTTTTTCATTTTTGAAACTTTCGAACTCAACCTACTGTATGAATCTCTTCATCTTCTATGTTTTGCAGATCACACTAGAGAACCCATTATGTTATGGAGGTAACGATCTTTGATAGAATATGATTTATTGAGTTCCATTTAATTGAAATTTTGTGTTGTGGTTATGAGTTTTGTTTCCACATAATGTGTTTAACCTGTGTGTTTCTAATTTTTTTTTTTAAACGTTTATTATTAGCATTGTATATATATATTGTTTTAGATCAATTGTTAAACAAACTTGCAGGTTGGAATTTTGGAGATTGTTGTAGAGCTATTGGTGTTTCTAATTTTTTTTTTAAAATTTTATTAGGCATGAGTTATTGGTGTTTCTAATCTTATTTAAGAAGATTGGGCAATTTTTTATGTTCTTTTTTTTAGAAAAAAAAAAAAAATTGTGGTGGTTTTTTCAATTGTTTTTTATACTGATTTAGTTATTTATTTATTTATCTATTTTATAGCTTTAATTATGATTGATTCTTACAATTCGTATCCGAAGCATTGCTTTCAATTTGCTTAATAGGCTCACATTAGAGAGCTTGATAAAAAGTGAAACTTCTTAAGAATCTTTGCATCCAAACATTATGGTTGGAATTTTATTACATTTATGTGTTCTCATTGCCTTAAAATTTGGTAGGCTCACATTAAATTTTTTTTTTTTTCAATTTAATTCGACATTGATTCATTTGACATTTTTTTTTATTGACAAATAGTAACATTTTACCAGCAATCCCATGATTCTTTAATTTTGAATTGTGTGTGCGCGCGCTTTTTTTTTTTTTTTGGTTGACTTAAATGTACTATGTAATTTCTTTCTTTTTGTATGTTATTTGAGTGAGAATTTGTACAGCCGTGACCATATCCATTTGCAAATGGGTCAAAGAAAGGTAGAGATTGTTTTTTGGGTCCAACATTATCATCCAAATTCAAAATAATATGTATAATTTTTTAATAGAGGGATAATTCTTCTACTTTCTCAACCTTTTTTTTTTTTTTTCCCGTCTCATATGCAAAATCAGCAACCACCTCAAACTGAAATCAGATTGTTGAAGCATATCATACAATCCAATCCTATTGGTGAGTTGGCCTTTAAAATGAAGTGCTAACCACCCTCTTCCCAACTTTGCCGATCTACTCTAGCCTTGCTCGATCTCCCCTCCTAAAGCTCCAACTCCCTCTTCCCAATCCCTAACTCACTCCCCTTTCTCTCTCAGGCACAATTTTTGTTCTTTATAGTATCATTGTTTGTATAATTTTGAATATTTTTTTACGTGGTTCATGAAATCTGTTTGTATTTTTGTTAACCATTCCCATTATTGATATAATTTTCTATATATTTTTTTATTTAATTTGTATTATAGGAGAATTTGTAATGTCCCTTGGTTCTTCGATCGTGGAATGGTGAAGTTATGTCAAAGGTATGAAAATTTGGTATGGATCTGTGTGTAGCTGAACATTCAATTCCTTGCAAATTTTCCCAATCTCGGTTGTAGATGGATTGAGAACTTTGTCCGTCGGTGACTGTGATTGTGTCGTGGAGCTTCTCTCCGTCGATCAAGCTCCGCGAGAACCTCCCTAAGCCTCTCCACCGACACATCTTCTGGCGACATGGCTCTCTCTCTCTCTGTGCGTGTTTGATCGTGGTGACGAGTGAGAGTAGACAAAAGGAAGGGGGCTGAATTTCTCTGTGATAGATGGGAGGACCTTAGACATCAAAAAATAATTTTGTGGATCTTTTTCATTACCAAAAGTGGGAGAGGGAACCTAGACCAATTTTCCCATTTATTTATATGTGTGGTTTGATCCATATTTATAAAAATGAAAATATATAAAAAAATAAATTAATTAAATGTTTGGGCCTAATCCAGAAGAACAAAACAATACATACCAATTACATAGCTCAGTCAGTGTTTCATTCAACTCTGTGCTTTCAATCTCTCTCTCTCTCTCTCGCGAACACGAAGTGGTGGGTGATGAAGAATGAAACAAGGCAAGCATAAAGAAGGAGAAGCAGAGCGAGGGACTCACTTTCTCTCTCTCACACACACTCTCTCCCTCATAGTAAGTCCTCACTCTTACTATCAAATTTTATTAAATAAAATTACTCTAATTTTTTTTTCTACATTCTTTCTTTATCAGTTAGTGGAATAATAAATTTGTCCTTTTTTTTTACCTTCTTTATCTATTAGATTTTAGTAGAATAAATAATTTTGACATAATTTTTTTACCTAGGTCTTTATCAGTTTTAATTGAATAATTTTTTCCTAATTTTTTTGCCCTAATTTTGTTTTATTAAATTGTTTCTTTTATAATTTCCTCGCCATCAGATATGAGATAATTCGTGGATTGTGATTTGTGAATTGAAGTGTTTGTGAAAAGAATTGGTAGACAAATTAAATTAGTGATTTTGCAGCTAAACATGTAAGAAGAGTAGTATTTAAGTGATTGTTGGGTCAATTGTAAATTGG